CTGTTAGAGACTGATTGCCAGGAGTGTAAGCTGATTGTCTGCTTTTCCTGTTCGTCTGCTAGCAGCTATTTGGGAGGTTCCAGTTCTATTGGAGTGTTATTTTGTATCCAGTTCGGGAGTTTGGTGTTCTGCAGTAGCTGTGCCTGTATCTCTTGAAAGGGGGCCGATCGCCTAAACGGTTTTTACCCCTTGTGTGCAAAACGGTCCGTTACAGTGCCCTTGTCCGCTTAGCTGCGCTATCTCCCCAGGGCCTTGTATGTACGTAGTGGGGAATCGCGATGCATCCTAGCACAAATCTAAACCCATTTACCCCCCCAATAACGACAGACCACTTAGTATGCATGAACAGGCCACAGCATTTATTATCACAAACTAAATTACTGCATAACACATCCATAACTTTATTAATTAAATCTCTTCTTTCTGTAACCAAAACGTTAGACATAAATAAGCATAAATTAACATATATACATATATAACTCCACCCATAGTGTTATACAGTGACCCAACCGTCCTTGCCAATAAACATACAGTGGTTCCTAATCACCCCTTCCTCTCACCTCCCCCCCGTCATAAAAAATCATATATTTCCAATGCCCGCCATCAGCCGACCTTATCCACGATCGATGGGCACGACACCTCAGGCAACCTAATGTTTAACCTTTTGAAGCAGGGAAGGTTGAGACCTAAAAAAACTTGTTCATCTCATTCCATATACTTAAATGTAACCACTCAAACTCAATTGGCAAGGACATACCCCTGCCACAACCCCGCTGTTTTACGCCTAAAATCAGCGGGGGACCCCACCATAACCAACCATGGCCTGTTCCACCACTTTTTGCAGCGTTAGATTAACATAGGCCTAGTCCGACCTCCAGCAAGCGCACCCATCCCCTCAAGATAACCAGGCCACATCCGGCCCAACCCTAAAGGCGAACCGGATTTCCCCCCGAGACCCCACAACAAACCTAGAAACCCATCTAGTCTGATTTCGATGGCAGCGCACCAGGGCACTCACATTGCTGAGCGCACTGCCAACAGGAACGGGCGATAGCCTCAGGCCAGCCCCTGAGAACCTCTGGGAAGACACAGAATGCGTAACATGACCAGATTGAAGAGCACCCAAATCCCAAACCGTAACCGAACCCAGGTCATTCCACCCAGAGATGACAAAACCCCTGGTACCCCCAGGAGGAGGGACAGCTGACCCCGTACGAGGAGGAGCCACAACCCCATCATGTATCTGGTGCTAGACCACCAAACCTCCGATCCCAAAGGCGTAAGATCCAACTACTCGCCCCCCGCCTCCTGGCCCAAATTACATGAGCATCCCACCATCCCTATTCTGGGGGGGGGGAGACAGTAACCGCCGAGAGAAATTCATTCGGAGACCGGCAGGGTGAACATAAGGAACCAATCATTCGAGCCCTCTGAACCATTGGCGCAGGCACGCCGAGCCTGGCGACGTCTGTAGCCGCCCCTAACTGGAATGAATGCCCCTTGAACTCCCCACCATCCTTATCCAGGAATTCGAGCCCCAAGTGGAATGCCCCCACAAAATGGACGTAGGAGAGAAAACCCGTCTCAGAGAACCAAACAGGGGGTGAGTAAGCCAAATAAACCAGGGGACGGAATAGCACTCACCTAAGGAAAGCAGGACAAATGACGGGACCCAGCACCGCCCCTGATCGGAACGGCATAATCCAAACTATCCTGGGAACCAAGTACATCATGTTAGGAGCCTATTACCCTGTGCACTCCATCTACCTCAGGAAAATGCGGAAGGGCCAGGTTATGTCAACGCCGCAACGTCCAAGAAATGAACAGATTCCATTAATGAATCAGCCAACCGCTACCAACTTACCCTCCCCAAAGTCTACAGCCGTCGAGCGGTGAAACCTGAAGGAAGTCCATTCCGATGCGCACTCAAACCCCCAAAACACCCCCCCATCTGCAGACGACCGAACATGAACGGGAAGCCGAGCCCTGCAAATCAAAGAACTCACTAAAGAGCCCCCAATGCCCCTAAGGGACGGAACAAAACATGTAGACGAGCAGTCCAATCCTGGAGCCCCCCCAAGGAAATGCTCCTATCTGGCCCGAGCACTCACACCTTCCTGTAGTGGGTCCCACTCCGCCTCAAATACCGACACACAGACCAGCTTCATCAGACCGCTAGAGCAAGCAACCACATCTCCACTGCCCTATATTTGGCCCCGCGGAGCCCCCACTCGAAGTACATCCCACAGCGAACAATATAAAGCATCGGCCACTACATTGTGAAACCCCTGGGATAACCTGCAGCTAACCAG